GCATGACTGCTGCGTCGTCGTTTTGCTGAGAATGGGCAAGGCATAGCTGGGAAAGAAGGAGTGAAGCATACACCCATGTCATGTGTTGTGGTGTTTGAGAGAGAGAGGGAGAGAGATTTGTTTCTTGAAAATAGAGTGGGTTAATGCTGCTGTGCTAGGGTTTATTGGAGCAAAGGATTGGTTTTTCCTTTGATTTTTTGGAGAGAGAGAGAGTTTTGGCAGAGAAAACGGTGGAGATGGAGGGAGGGAGGGAGGGTGTGAGCGAGACAGTAAAAGTTGCTGCCATGATAGGTTTATTTTGGACTGGTAACTCTTAAGGTAGTTATGAGCACTGTGTTGCTGATTTGACAAGTGAGGGAGACAGTCAGCGCACGCGTGTTGGACCTCACATAGGTTTTTGCGGAGTATTTTTGTGCTTCATCATTAAAAAAAATAATACAATATAAAAATATTTTAAAAAATAATAGAGGTTATACCGTTGTACATAGTTATTGCAGATGATATTTTAACTTGTAAAGAAATAATATTTATAATTCTCTGAATTATTTTTTAAAATATTTTTTATATTTTTTTAAGTGCTTGTGTGAAAAAAAAACTGGTTTTAGCAGGTCCAAAGCCTATGTTGTTTAAATTTTTTAAAATAAATAGATGGTTAATTCCTTAAAAGAGCTTCACTTTTGGCTATGTGTGTTTTTTAAAATCTTTAAACTTTTTTAATTTATTTTTAAAAAATATTCTGAATTATTGATATAAAATATAAATCTTAAAAATAAAAAATAAAAAATATTTAAATTTTTTTTTCAAATATTACATTCCTTTAATTATGATAATGGGGTAGAGGAATCATCTCGGACATAAAATTATCAAAAAAAAAATATTTAACACTCTCTGAGTCCTAAATGTAGAGAGACAAGTGTCTTTTGCAACACTACTAGCAGTCTTTTGAAGTTTTGGTGGCTATAAAAGGAATTTAAAAATAGTGGATTTTTTTTTTTTGCTTTTAAATATTTAAATATGACACATTAATAATTAGTAGTTAGAATAATAAACGCACATAAATATTTTTTTTTCTTTTAAATATTAAGATAAACAAGTCTAGCAGCGGGTCGATGGCTTTTCAAGCCAGAGCAATGGCTTGAAGTTGGCGGACTATTTTGGAAACCGACTCTTTTCCTCCTCCTTTTTCCAAGACATTCTGCCGATTATCCACGATTACAGGATAAAGATACGTATCACAGAAGAAAATTAACGAATTCGACAGAGACATGAGATAGGAGGATAACTGACCCAGAAGCTGAAGAACATTACCTCCGATCCGATACTTGCCACCGTTTTCTGTCGTGAATGTTTCGGTGTATATTTCGCTTTATTGCATGTTATGTATCACTATCCTGTCAAATATGGAAGAAATCTATGATTTGATTTGTAGAGGTTAGTTTAGGAAGTATAAAGACTAATTTGAAAAATGAACTTACTGGTAAATTAAATTAAAAATAGCATATGACTTATTTTGTGTTCTGCTCGGTGAACCTCTTTGTAATTCTCTTGAAGAACATTTATTCTGCAATTATTGTTACCTGGGACTTGTCTTGATGGGCCTTGGATCTGCTAACTTCTGGCTTCGAGAAACCTGAGAACACAGGTCGATTGGCTCCTCTGACGAATCAAGAAGTCTCCTTTATTATAATGTATGGCCTTCTAATTTGCGTATTTTGAAATTCTAACAAAGTTTAATAAAACATGTTAAAAAATATTGTATAGTTGTTCCAAAAGTCTTATAGTCTTATGAGAGAAATTAATTATCATCAATTCAATTCAAATTTTTATGAATATTTAATAGTTAAAAAATAAAATTTAATAATTTAATAATTTTAAAAAATAAGTAACTAGAACATACCACAATTTTGTTTTCAACACATCTAGTATTGTTAAAAAATTCTTAATAAAACGATTCTAATTATATCTTGAAAGACTACCTAACATGATTCTAATTTAATTAAGATTTTATCTGAGGTTAATTTGGGATTACTCACAATTTTATTTAGTAGTATTTAAAGATGAAGTTACAATTATCTTGTTAAAAAAATTTTAATGATATTAAATATGTTAAAAATAAATTTTTGATGTGTCCTTAATAAATTTTTTTTCTTCTTTCTTCATTTTTCTTTCGTGTTATATAAACTTATATTGACTTTTGACAAGTTTAATTATTTTGAAGAAAATGAAACATCACTGTATAACCACTGTTTTCTATATTTATATTAAAAAAACATGGTAGTGTTCATCTGCTATTATCTGTTATGGTTTTGTACATAATTAATATTGGAAAACACAGTTGTATTATTTTTCAAACCTATATCATTCTCCCAAAAAATTTATAAAATATGTCATTTTTTCAAAAATAAAAAATCTTACTAATTTACGGTTGTCGCCTGCTAACGGTACATGTATGTACCCTTCTATTCAGTCACCCTTTTCTCGGTTAAATATGAGAGTCACCTCTTTCTTATTTGTTACCCAAATATCTCCACATATTGGCTTGTGAGGATATATATATATATATTATCATCTGTATGGGGTGCTCCAACACCAATAATTTTCGCACAGTTTATAGGGTTAATGTTTTTATACATTCCTATACTCCTGCTTTTTTTGCGCCAAGGTTCCCCATTATTATTTTTTTATTTTCACATCATTTTCATGTATTATATGATAGCCATTGCTTGACATAGGTATCAAAATTAAACCGGGCTTACTGGTTCTATCATTGAACCAATCCAGTTTGAGAATATGAATTGTTTATGCAATCAAGCCGATAAAAACCAGGTTGAATAGACCTTAAAAATCAGCTTAAATATGTCTAGAATTGAATTGAATCAATTCAATGTTAACCCGCCACTTGTTACGTACTAAAAATATGGAAGAAGATGCCTTTTCTAGGTATTTTTTTTTGTTGATTTACGTGGGTATCCGGATCAGTTTGCGCGCATCACGATTAATCTAACGGCCCACTGAATACCCTACAAACCCAATAGACAAGAAAACTAACCTTTTCTAGGTATTAAACAGGAAGGATATAATTGAACTAGTGAATGCTAGTTAAGCTGATGAACTAATGAACTAAAATCTTCACAGGTTCAAGCTCCAGCTCGATTTTGATAATACTATTGCTAGATCCTCTCATCATTTGTTAGTATTAATAATGTTGTTAAATAATGACAATGTGTCAGTTCTTTAAAGCATGTAATATTTTGACAATGTACATTTTATCTCTAATTTTTTATTTTATTTTAGCCCATGTATTTTGTTTTTATTACAAATAAGTCTTGATATGGTTTTTGTCTTTATATTATATGATAAATGCAATCTAGTCCCTAAAAGTTTTTGTTTTTTCAATCAAACATCTACCAGTCAAATCTTAAATTTGACCACTAGTTATAATGGATATATGATATTTAAAAAAAAAAATCTTTTTTAACCGATATATCTATTTAAATTTACCCAATTCTCACCTTGCCCATCAGCAATATATTTATGATAATGGGAAAAAAAATTCAAAATCAAAGTAAAAATACTTTAGTTAACCTAACAACAATGATGTATTTTTCAATAAAAAAATTTATTTTCTACAATATCATTTAAATATTCAGAAATAGGTCATTTTTATTATAAAAGTTATATAATATAAAAAATAAAAAATCAAGGATTTATATATAAGAAAAACAAAATATAGAGACCAAATTTTTATTATAAAAGTTATATAATATAAAAAATAAAAAATCAAGGATTTATATATAAGAAAAACAAAATATAGAGACCAAATTTTTATTATAAAAGTTATATAATATAAAAAATAAAAAATCAAGGATTTATATATAAGAAAAACAAAATATAGAGACCAAATTTTTATTATAAAAGTTATATAATATAAAAAATAAAAAATCAAGGATTTATATATAAGAAAAACAAAATATAGAGACCGAAATTTTTATTATAAAAGTTATATAATATAAAAAACAAAAAATCAAGGATTTATATATAAGAAAAACAAAATATAGAGACCGAAATGTATATCAACATAATTGACAAAGAGACCTGACGAGAACAGCAGCACATGTCGAAATGATATGAACAAAAACATAAACCCTTTAAACACCAAAAAAAAAAAAAAGAGTACAAAACGTAGTATCATTAACCCAAATTCTTTTCAGGCATTTATAGCCCAACCTATCAAGAATCAAGGTTTCCGGTTTCCTGTCACTATCATGATGAGAGAAGCGATGCGGCGAGCTCTAGCTAATGTCGCCACCAAACACTTCGATCAGCAGCACAGCTAAAATAAGTGGAAACTCCTCAATGGCACGAAAGAAAAATGTCTATATTCCATAGTTTTCGAGCAGTCGCAAAGGGAATATCAAAACAGCTGTGGAGGGCGGGTCTAGAAGAAACAGATGCTAAAAACATCCGGGAAAGGGCAGGTGATATCACCCCCTTCGTGCGGGATACTGACATAATTTTTATTTTTTTTTGGATTAATAGGATTGTTTAAAATAATTTTTACGTATCTTAACTAATTTTATATATTCTAAAATTAATAATTATATAAACTTTTGATGATTTTAAAATTTATAAAACTCAAATTAATAATTTTTTTTAAAAAATTTAAATCTAACCAATTAAATTATATTTTTTAAAATTAAACTTACAAAAATTTTGATTAAACATTTGATGATAATGGTAATTTCTCTATCTAAAGCATAAAGCCATTAATTATCCATGATGCAGATTGTTTCACTCAAGAACCCTTCTATGACATGCCTTATAACTAAAGTGTTTCTCATTTAATTTAAACTTGTTTCTTTTTTAATTTAAATTATTTTTTTAATGTTTTTAAATTTTTTTAATATGCTAATGTTAAAAATAAATTTTAAAAAATAAAAATTATTTTTATATATTTCCAAATAAAAAATACTTTAAAAAACAACTATTACCATATTTTCAAACCAATACCCCGTGAAATTAATAGGTAACAGTACAAATCAAGGGGTGGAGCAGCCTTCAGCAGCAACCAAAAACAAAATATTGATTTACAACCTTTTCTCCGTCCCCATTCACAGGATCTATACATACAAGTCGGGGGGGTGGTAGTAGTATACATGTACTCAGCTTCTAGTGAAGTCAAACTGAAGATGGTTAGAAATAATTGGCCGAACCTGCAATCATTTTCGATGAAGCATCATAAAGAATTCAAGGGAACCAGCGTCCATTATCCACTTAATACCAAGTGCACCGGCAGGTGATTCAAAATTGCTGGTTCATTTCAACCAAAGAACTCTCCGATTTAGTTTTGCTCAGTTCACCGAAGGTGAAGTGAATCCTATTATGACTTCAAAGTGGATTTGGTATCTAAGAACCTGGCAACTGCCTGATAGAGATTTTCTTCCTCGAAAGGCTTTGAGACATATCCATCCATCCCACTCTTCAAGCACTCATCATGTGTAGCATGTATCACATCAGCTGTCATGGCTAAAATTGGAATATGCCACTGGACTTTTCTAGCCGTTCCTTCTTCCACCATGGATTCACCATTCATCTGCTCGTTTGCCTGGCTCTCCATCTGCCTGATTCGACGAGTTGCCTCAAACCTGGAGGAGAATACCCATGTGAATGGTACTTGGAATGTAAATGTCATGCAACGCATACCAAAAGTACTTGCTTTCATGTTCCTGATGCATTGCAATCAAATCAGTTAAGTATACATCAGTGGTAGAGAGTATGGTCCTGAGCACCTAGATTACCAATCTGAGTATGAACTTTGCTCTTTAAACTTATTTTACCAATAATGACGCCTGATTACTTTTCAATCAGGCTAACAAATTCAGGAACCCGACAGTCCAGATCTCCAGACAGAGGGACCAAATGCCCTTGCCACTAATGCTCTGATCCCATGCTCAGGTCACACACCGGCATATCTAGGCATGGTTACCTTCAGCCAAATGCTTCATGCAAACAACAAACTTGAGCAACTAAAAACACGCCTGACCTAATAATTTCATCAATTATGAAATAAGATTTCTAATGTGATGTTGTTACACGATGCCAAAAAGGTTCATTAAATAAAAAAATGGAAAGAAAACGGAGATAGGTATTAGGTAATCAAAGACATCAATCAGCAGCTTTTACGAGAAAGGAGTATAAACAAAAATAATTTCTACATTTTATTATCAATCAAGGAAGAAGAGCCAATAAATAACAGAACAGTTGCAATCTAAAATCATAAAACAAGATTTTGAAGACATACCCATCCATTTCTGGCATTTGAATATCCATGAAGCATGCATCATAAGTGTGCGGTGGTTGAAGCAGTTTCAATGCTTCTTTACCGCTTTCAGCACACTCAGCATCAGCTCCAAACTTCTTTAAGGCACCTGCAGCAACTCTGCGGTTTACCCTATTGTCATCGACCACCAGAATTCTCTTTCCACAGAGAAGGCTCTGAAGGAAAGAAGAACCATTGGGCATGCCTTTCCCTTGGGACCTTTTCTTCCCCATGCCCAGCACCTGCAGAAGACATGCAGCCACCATACTAGATCTCAAAGGTTTCAAGATCACAGTATCGGCAAATCCTGCTCCCTTCGCTATATCAAATTCAGAATTGGTAATGCTGGTAGCAAGAAGGATCATCTTAGGAAGCTTGAATGCATGTCCATTCTGTTTCGAATCCAGTTGCCAAACACTTGAAACACCATCCTCCCCAGAAATCCATGAATCCTTCTCCACTAGAATTATATCTGGCTGGAATTTACCTCTGCCATTAAAAAAGAGAGGTTACACCGATCACAAAGTAGCATTCAATTTCACATTTTCAGAAACATGAAAATGTAGGAGCTCTGCCAATGATCTATTTATATTGGCCACTTCACGATTCATCTTTTATTGAAACTATTATTCACTGGGTTTTCAATTCAGGTAAGTTCTTTTATGATCATGTCAGTAAAATAACAAGTGCTCAGCATAATAGATGCGCACTTGCAATAATTCAGGAGACACCCCCAAAAAGCATGATTTTCTTTAATTGCATAACCCAAAAGTTTAAATTATTAAGTGAAGGACAAAGATAGGCTTTTATAGTTTTAACATGCCCTTTCACGTAAAAACCTGCCCTTGAAGTATATATTAAATGTAGACCTGCCGCTAAACTTACCATGAAATTATTTTGCAAACATTGGAACTTACTCTTGACAGTCAAGTCAAAAAGGAAAAAGAGCAAAAATCCATCAACCATCTCCAAGAAACACTCCCAATGCCATAACGCTTTAGCAGAAATCTTAGCACTATATAAACTCGATGAAAAATGAGCACTCCCAATAATGTTCATGGTATGAATTCTAAATGATAAACACACCATGCAACCAGAATTTTGGGCAGAAGATGTGCATCACAGCAGAAAATGACGATAAAATCAGTCATTTTTACTAAGATACAAGGGTGCCACTGTCCAGTAAACAGGCTTACCCTCATGAAAACAGAGGCATGAAAAGTGAAATGATTAACATAGTTTTTCATTGAGTTCGTGCCAAAAGACAAACCATAGTCATCAGCGATGGGCCAAATCTTCACACTTATTTCTTGTTGTTTCATTGGAACCTTTCAATTTCTTAATTAAGATAAAATGGTCAGGGACAGGGACAGCCAGCCAAGTGAACTTACCCTGATGTCAGAGAACCATTTTTCCCACAGCCAATGGCAGCCAGCTTGAGGCTACTTACAACTTCAGCTAGGATCCCAAGCCTCTTCAAATGGTATCTGGTTACAGTAGCCCTAACCGGGTTTCCATCAACAACGAATGCTTTCAATCCTCTAAAGCCAGAAGGCAATTCTTCAGCATTGTGTTTTTCCATATTGTTGAATGTATTTTTCTTGCATGTACCGAGAACAGCAGTGAATGAAAATGTGCTTCCAACCTCAGGCCGGCTAATGAAGTTTATTTGACCACCCATGAGCTCAACCAGACACTTACTTATACTCAACCCAATTCCAGTTCCTCCGTACTGTCTGGAAGTTGAACTGTCTGCCTGCACAAAGGGCATGAAAACACGACCCTGGGCTTTTAAGGGGATGCCGATTCCTGTATCCTCAACACATACTATCAACCCAACATCCTCAGAAGCTTCATTGTTGGTCATTACATTTATTGAAGCATCACATCGGAAATCTTCATCAGAAAAATGCTTAAACACATCCCAACAGTTCTGATCATCTGCTGCTTCACAACCACTCAAGGTTTTGAACTTTTGGGAACCTGATGTAAGCACGCTTTCTTTGGATCCTCCATTTAAACAAGTGTCCACTTTTGTATCTGTCATGGCCTTGGCATTTTCATATAGATGAACTTTAACGAATATATGTCCTCTTTCAGTGAACTGCCAGAGAATATATAGTCAACTATAACAGAAGGTTGAACTCTAAAGAAGGCAATAAAGCTAATAGTGAAAAAAATCATTTGTTCAATCATAAACTCAGTAGTAAATCATAAAATCTGTCTCACTAATTGATAAATGAACTAATAAGAAATAATACAGATACATTCTCGTAGGTTGAACTGCAGAACAAAGTTCAATCAATACACTTACCTTAACAGAGTTGCCCACCAGATTTGTGATAATCTGTCTAAATCTCCCAGGATCACCGACAACAATTTCTGGAACTTTATCAGAAACAAATACTGCCAGCTGTCCTTCCACAATTGATTATGCAACCGTGTTTCAGATATTTAGTACAATGACATATCACATCAAGAATGCCACCAACCATTGATGTCAAAAGTCCAAGGAAAACAGAAAAAATAGAAAAAGACAAAAGGTCAGTTTCAACATAATAGAGTATCTGGCAGTTTGTCTTTTAAAAAAAGCAAGAACCATGAGAATGAAACAGGTCTTTGGCCCTTTAAGAGAATTCATGTCAGCCAACAAGATATGAAAATGCTGACTTGCCTTTATTGTGTTTCTGTAGGACTTACCTCAATACCTTTGTTTCTAGACTTCTCAGAAAATAAAGAAAGGACATCATCTAGTATGGATCGAATATCGAATGGGACAGCTTCCAGCTCTAACTTTCCAGCTTCAATTTTTGCCCGGTCAAGCACCTCATTTATCAAAGCTATCAGTGCCTTTCCACAGACTTGAGCAGTTTGAGCATAATCCCTCTGGGTTGAACTTAAATCTGTATCTAGCAGCAAGGCAAGCATGCCTGCAATCAAACACGGACCACAAAAATGATTATGAAAGTACAAGAACCTAGAACATTTTTCATATTCCAGGAAAAAAAAGAAGATCTTGCATACCAAGGACGCCATTCATGGGTGTTCTGATTTCATGAGATACAGTAGCTAGAAACTGGCATCAAGAACACAATGATACTCAGGTAAGAAGATGCGGCACCTAGAAAACAAGTGGGGGTCAGTTATTCTTAACAACAATGTTCAGAAGAATACCTGGGATTTAGCAACATCAGCAGCTTCTGCCCGGACTTTCAACTCCTGCATTTCATGGAAATCATCCTCAACTTTTACAATATGAATTGCTGCACCATATAAGATGTAACCCACTAATAAACCGATAACAAAGAATAAGAAAGCTGTGGAGAGTGCTGTCCATGAAGTGGCTGCCTTCTCATTGTACCTGCTTAGATTTCAAATTGTAAGCATCTATATGCAGAAAACTCTTCCATTCATCTTACGAAATAATGATCAGCGATTAGATGCACTTACCTGCATGTCATCAGGTGCTTTCTGAATGGATCTCCAAAATCAAGCTTGCTTTCATGCAAAAGAGACAAGTCACCATCTAGATTTTGGTGACCGTACATGATTAAAAGGTCAGAAGAGTTAGTTATGTCATAAACATTCACCAAAATTGCCTGATTCCCAGCAAGCTGTCCAAGTAAATTCTCCACAAGGGACTCAATGTCAAAGGCCCCACCAAGGTATCTGCTTTCAATTCAAATCTCTGTTAATAAATGAAACCAAATTTTATACAAAATATGAATTCTACCAAACAGTAAGGGGTGAAGCATTTCAACTTGGAAGCCCAATTAGACCAGAAAGAAAGGTGACATGGGTGAAATTCCAGCCATATGATGAAACACTGCCATGAGCATACTGTTTGATTGCTAAATGCTAATAGTGAAATGCTCCAAAAGTTTTAAATTGCCAACTCTACACAGCTCAGTAGTGGTTCATGGTTGTTTAGAACAATGGTCACAGTGAGGAGCCAGCTTGCATATAAACACAACAAAACTATTTCTGAGATTCAAGCTCAGCATAAGCAGAAATAAAATCCATGATGTCCATATGAAAAGAAATAGCACCTCAGTCTAAATGCACCTGGTGCGATAACAATTGCCATGAATAAAAAAAATTTAGGTTAATGACTAGCATGTGAAGTAACAAAAAATTTACCTTGCCAAATGTTTTATGCTATTTTTTTTTTTTAAAAAAAAAAAGTTGAATTATCTTGAAGCAGCGAAACTGTCTGTGAAATAGAATGAAATGATCTCTCCTTTTATTAATTATACAATATTTTCGAACTGCACCATCGCAGCAGGAAGATAGGAAAACAAGGAAAGGAAAGCTGAAACAAAGTCACATATGTTGTATCAATAATTGTACCAACAGATTAAATAATATCTCCAGATAAATAATCTCATCACTACTAACACTAACCACCTACAAAAAGGCTAAAGTTTCAAGCTCAAAATTAGTATCTAAAGTAAAACCACAGCGGTGCCAATGAGCAAAAATAGCATCACTGAACCAATATTTTTTTTTTCAATCTTCTAGTCACCCTCAAAATTTCATTTCCGAGCAGAATTTATTTCAAAATGTTAATGTAAACCCCTACCCAAACCAGTCACCAAAAAACTTGGGTGTTCTAAATAGAAAGATAAGTGCACGCACTCACCCAGCAGTTGCTTCTATGCGCTGCGCCGCTGTTGGGCTTGGAGGAAGCTTAGACTTGTAAACAGGGAATGTCAACACAACACCGAGGTGATGAGAACCTAGTAACCTAAAGGGGCTCGTCAAAACAGCTTTCCCTGTAGCCCTAGCCCTCAGTATGTTTTCTCTGTCCTCCTGCATCATGCGGAAGAAAAGATTATTGAAAACTAGATGCTGAAACGTAAATGATGTAAACAAGATAACCAAATTCAAGTCACAAACTCTGAAAATTACCTCCCCTGACATCATGTCAAGAGACTCAATGTAGGAGACCGTCTCTTGAGAAAATATTACAGGAGCGTACTCATCTCGAATGGGTGAGGGTTCTCTCTCCATTGTCTTTATTGTCCACCCATGTTGCCTCTCGAATTCCTGCCTCTCTGAATCAATTACTCTTCGTGCATAGGCTACGCCACTCAACAGTGGCCTCTCAAATGCAGTTCTGGCAGTGTACTCAGCAAAGGTTTCCTGCATTTTGTCAAAATTAATTCTCAGCGTGCACAATCAGAGAACAAGGATTATAAGGATAAAATATTTTTGGTCCTACAAAAACATTTGACAGAGTCATCTTGTATTTTTCCTTTTACATCTTGCAAGCCAAATCGCACGAAAATTTAAACTTCCAAAATTAATTTCCAATGGATTCACCTTAATTCGTTGAAGAACAAAACAGCCTAAACAACTTCAAAGCCACAAACAGAAAGAAAAATAAAACATCTCTTCAGAAATCACAATTAACTAAGCCTTGCATGACTTGTTGCTAAATTGAAGTGAATTTTCCTTTTTGTTGTTTGGGAACATGACAGCAAAAAAACTAACATTCAAAAATCATCTTCCCTTTTTCAATTTTTGTCTTTTCCCCAGCAAACATTTAGAACCTTTAAAATCCAACCAGCAAAAACAGAAATCAAAGTTTCGAGAGAAAGGAGCAAGAACCTGGTCAATTGCAGATGGGTTCTTGTAGTAATGAAAAGTGGAGACAAGAATGGCTAGGGCATGAACATGGTTAACACTAACACTGAATTGATCTTGCAACATCCTTGCCCTTTGATCACACATGCTACCCAACACTTCCTTCCTCCTCACTCTATTATCCGCATCCATGCCATTGTATATCGTCAAACTAAAAAGTGCCATAGCCATGACCCAAAGCAACAAAACTTTAGGAAGCCAAGTCCTGTTGGCTTGTATAAATGTATACCCTCTTTTGGTCCCCATTTGTTGATCATTCACCTTAACAGCCACAGAGTGGTGGTAGCTTTGCTGCATCTTTAACGCCATGGATGAATTCAAACACAACAAGAACTAAGATTTCTCTGTTTCTTCTTGATTTTCTCCTTCTTTCTCTGATCCCAAGTTCATATCAAACCAAGAAAGACCCCAATAGCACAGGGACACAACACGTCCATGTATGTATGAGGCAGGATTCTTTAAAGAGGTGGCAATGTTGCAGCTACTTTTTTCCTTCTGATGTACAAAGAAAATGCACACTGCCGGTGCTTAACAACGAGTAAATGATCATTTACAGCATTGTGTTGCGTGATTTGAGCAAAAGAAAAAAGAAAAGGAAAAGAAGCAAAATTTAGACAAATAAACAAATCTCTCTCTCAATCTCTTCAAAACCCCATATTAAGAATTGAAAGAAAGAGAGCCAGAATTGCAAAGAAAAGGGTTCTCAATTGTTAAGACACAGTCATGAGGATTCTCAAAAGGTGGAAAGCAGCCCATATTCCAAAGACTGTCTCTTTCATTTACTTCTCAAAATAGACTGTTTTGTATAATAAAGAAAAAAAACACTAATCATTTTCATCTCCGAGCGTGAAGATTTTTAGTATTTTTATTTTTATTCTCACTTGTTTTTTACTACTCCTATGTGATAGATAGAGAGAGAGAGAGAGAGATAGACTGGTGGTGAGTGAGAGGTAACAAGACAAAGAGGAAGCACGTTCACTGTTGTTTGTTTTAATATTATAAAATTAGCAGCACTAATCTACAACTCTAAACACAGATTGACCAAAGAACACAAACAGCGAAGCACAAGCAAGCAAAATGCTTTTTCGGAGATTGGAGAGAGATAGGGTTGTTGAAAGAAGGAACAAAGTCAATCAACAATGGTGGAGTTTTCTGTAGAAGAGAGGGAGAGAGGTGGAGGTACTTTGAATGATGGCCAAGTTTACAAGAGTTTCTTTTCTTTTTTTCCTTTTTAAACTTAATTTGGACCGTCTTGATCTTAGGTTTTGTTTTATTTTATGTATTCATTTATAATATAATGTTTGTGTATATAAAACCTTTATCTGAACTTGGCTTTTTAAAGCTAACTGAATGGAATTTTTAGGATTGTTGTAGATACGCCAACTCTCTCCCTTCTTACACAATCTATTAAACTATACCCTGTTAGTCATGACTCTCGCTCTCTCTCCTGAACCCTCCCATGAAAGTCCTCTCTCTCTCTCTCTCTCCCCCCTCTGCCTTCCTTCTATATTTTATTACTGCATCTCACACACCATACTTTGTCCCCCCCTCTCTGCTTATAGTTTGCAGTTCACTCTGAGGTTGGTACGTTTTCGTTGTCTGCATGTTTTTTGGACTCGAACACACTGCAAGAAGCAGCGTTTTTAACGTTTTTCTTTTCTGTGGTTGGGTAAATCTCTATCATTGCATCCATAATCTCTAACAGGAACAAGTTTCTATTTAACATTAATTAACTCTATCAATTCATAACTAAGTTGACATGGAGTATAATGAGGTTGGCCTGATAATTATTTAGGCAGTTTTCAACTGGCTAAAACCGTGTTTTTTATGTTTTTTAAAAATATAAAAAGATAATTTTTTATTTAAAATATTTTTTTGTAGATTTTTATACTGTTTTGATGTATTAATATAAAAGTAATTTTTTTTTAAATATATATTATTTTGATATATTTTTAAATTAAAAATATTTTAAATGATAACCATTACAGTACTCTCACATACCCTGTAGTTATTCTCTTTAATGGATTTTAGAATTCAAACATCGTATTAGGTAGTGTTAGAACGTGGATTTTTCTGTCGACCAGGATGGCAGTATTGAAGAAGGCTAAGAGAAAATGTCAGGGAGACGAGAGTGTGGTCTCTTGGAGCAAGTACGTTATATTCAAAATTTCGATGTTTTATGACTTGTTTGTAATTTATATTATTTTTTAAATAAAAATATTTTTTTCAGTTATATAGATTTATTTTACTTTATATTTAATTTTTATCAAATAAATAAAAATAATAAAATTTAAATTTATAATCACTTAATTATTAAAATTTTGATATTATATCATAAAATCATCTCAATTCAAAAATTTAAACTATTAAATAAAACTCTAATATATAATTTATATTATTTTTTAATATATATTATTTAATTAAAAAATTATTTATATTATTTTTTAATGCATACCTTTTAATTAAAAGATATAGTCTTCTTGCATTTTAGTTTAACCATTTAATTTAATTAGAGACCTTTTACTAGTTATTCCGCCCTAAAAAACCTGTCTCCAAATTGTTAATAATATAAAAATTTCACTTGGATGTATTTATACAAATCCAAGAAGAATCAAACCATGTGCTCATTAATTTCGTTTGCAACTCAAATAAAAGTGTTCGTCGAGTTTCAGTTCCATGTGAAATGCTTTAAAGTCTGGTTATTTGTGTTGGTGTTGTTATTTTTAAAGTAATCATAATTATATTATAATTATTTAGTAAAATTAAAATTAAAATTTATTTTTTTATGAAGTTTAGTGTATTTTGCATTTAAAATATAAGTAGAATCAAAGTAGCTCTTGGCTATTTTTTTTGTTCTACTCTATATTATTTATTTTTTAAAATACATAATATTTTTTTAAAAAAATAATACCATAAATTATAAATTCACTTGTATTGTTCACATTGATGTGAACAATAATTTTTTAAAACAAAATAATTTAGAGTAAATTATAAATTTACTTATACCGTTCATGTTCACATGAACTAAAATTAAAAAAAAAAACTAATTTAAAATGAATTAAATTCATTCACAATGTCATGTAATAATATTTTTTTTCCTCAAAAAATTAACGTAAAAAATTAACGTAAAGTAAATTAAATTCATTCAAACTGTAATTTCAATTATATTCTTGATAATATTTTATTTAATTTTATTATATACTCAAAAAATAATGAAAATTTTAGTTATTATTAGATGAATTTTATATGTAATGAAATTATATATAATTTAATAAAACAATAAAAAATATTTTATATAATATATTATTTATTTTATGATATAACATGAATAGTTAAATTTATAATATTTAAATTTAAAACTATTAATATTAATATTTTATTATTATTTTATAACTTTAATTTAGAAGGTATTATCAACCAAATATATTAAATTATTTTTTATTCAATCTTAATTTTAACCAAACATATATAAATATTAAATTAATTTTAACTAAAAATATATTTTATAAAATAATTTTTTAAAATTATAATTATAAAAAATTATCATAGTATCAAACATATTTCTATCTTGAAACCGTGAAATCGAAAGAAACCATGGTATGGATAGAAAAAAATAAATTTTAATTGATTTTATTCTTCGGTCGATTACCTGCTAGGAGATTCCAAAAATGTCAGCCAACAGCCACACTTCCGCACCTCGTTTAATTTGAAGAACTTGTTTTTCGTACCATCCATTCACTTGTAATTTCAATCTATAAATCAACCATGTACAATTTCCGGTCTCGTTTTATTTGACTAATCATTTATATTTCTCAGCAATGTATTTAGAACTTTTTGAATTGAATTTAATATATATATATATATATATATATATATATGCTGGAATATTTCTTAGTGTTGGGAGTTAAATTTTAAATAAAAATTAATTTTTAAAAATATCACAAAAATAAATCAGAACTTGAGTTACTCTCACTCTAATTTAAAATTTCAAAAGAGAAAAAAATTGAACCTAATTATAGTAAAGAATTGGTTTAGACAATCTATAAAGAAATCATTTGAAAAAAAATAATGGACCCTCCCCTAAATTTATAAAAAGATACCAAAAAACTAATTCCATGAAATAGATTTTGTGGCACAATGGTCATGGAAAATCAGATGCAACCAGATTAACACTTTAGAGAGTATTGAAAAATATGATAACAGTTAATATATTTTTTATTTTTTAACTGCAATCAGATGAGTAGTTATTTTTTAAAATATTTTTATTTTAAAAAATATCAAAATAATATATTTTTATTTTTTAAAATTTATTTTTGATATTAATAAATCAAAATAATAAAATATATAAATATTATTTTAAATAAAATATTATTTTTCATAAAATATTATTTAAAACACAATTCCAAACAGCACTGTAGCCCACAAGATAAATGGTGATAAGAGGTCCATAACTCGTTCCTGGTACAAATTCCCCGTGCAGGCAGAACTGATAAAATATATGCATGATAAGTCGACAAAGACACTAGAATAACGGGAGAAAGAAATTGAAATTTGAAAAAAAAAATAAAAATAAAAAAAGGATGGGGGTCTAGATATCACTGTCACGTATCTCTGAGATAATGACACCGCGACAAGGCAATGGATCTTATTCCCACCTAATTTTCTTCGTATCTCCGTCTTCTACAATTTCCTAGACATCATGACCAGTCTCCTGTTCTATATTTTCACCATTTTTTATTTATGATTTTTTTTTTATTTGACTGATGGCATATATAGAATAATAAATGTTGTTTTTTTTTATGATTTTATATAGTTTTGATGTGCTAATTTAAAAATAAATTTTAAAAATTAAAAATTATATATTATTTTAATATATTTTTAAACAAAAAATATTTTGAAAAGTAATTATTACTATAATCTTATATATTATTTAAAGAATAGATAACTAAAATTAAAATTTTTATTATTAGTTTTATGAAATAAAATAAATTAAAATTTTAAAAATAAAACCATTGAATATTTATTTAAAGACAATTTAGGTAATTTTTATGTTTTACTCAACTACAGATAAAAAATTATTTGGTTAATCAGATAATTTATGGTTTTTACATTGAGCTTTACACATAACAACATTTTAAACCTTGATCTTGTAAATATAAAATAACATGTTTTTATTCATGAAAATTTATTTATTTATTTTACATGTAAAAATTTATATCATAATAATTTTAACATAAAATATAATTTTAAAAACTTACTTCTTTTTAATTATAACTATAAATATTTTTTTAATCATAATTATAAAAATTTTCATAATACTAGACACATTTATTTCCAGTTCATTAAATAACATGTAAGTGGATCTGTTTCCTTCGCGCTCCTTTAATTGTATGTGCAATAGCTTGTCATCTAGCTTAAGGGTAACTTGTTCGAGTGCTAAGGTCCAGTCTCTTTTGAACAGTGCGCGATCAACAACCTTCTTTTATATATATATATATATATATATATATAGCTTATTTATTTATTTTATCCACTTGGTGATTGCACATGTTTTCAAAATCGATTTTTATTTAATTTTATTACAATTAAATGGATATTTTAAAAAAATAATTTAAAATGTTAAAAACTATAATTTTTTATTAGGAAAAAATTCATTTTCTTATTAATATAATTTTTTCTCTCGCAAAAACCTATCTTTCTATTAATAGCATGTTTTTTAATAAAAAAACTAAAAACAATTAAAATACATGCACAGAAAAATTTCAGTCATTTAAATTAAGAAGAACAAATGTACATCTTCAATCAAAACTTTATGTTCTAGTTATTTTATTGTTTTGTTATGTAAATAATGTTTTTTTTTACTAGAATCATTATTTTTTTTTAAGAAACTTATTATGATATGGAAAAAAGTTTGAATTTAAAAAATAAAACTATGACTCGTACATTATAGAAGTAAAAAATAAATAAAAATAATTAATCTGAAAAAATTATGTAAAATATTTATAATAATAATAACAACAACAACAACAATAATAATAAAGATACATTCTCATTTAATATTCAATTATGTAAAATATTTATAATAATAATAATAACAGCAACAAGGATACATTCTCATTTAATATTTATGACCATGTTTTTCATAAATTTATATATTAGGTTTATATACAATAATTTACACAGTAATTG